CATATTGAATTTTTAATCGATTTGGATGAATTAATACTTTCGCTTCGCCTTATAACATATTCTTTGAATCCCACAATTTTCTTTTGCAACCGGATTGGCCGATTTACTAAAATTCTGTAACTATATCAGAATCATCTACGAATTTGAACGGCCGCTCCTGTTAATTTCCTGTATAGTTACATATGTAGCTGATCACAATTTTGTGCACATGTACGTACATGTCGTTGCATATGCCATGAAGTAAGATAACTATAGCATTTTTCATATCACAAATTTTTATGTTACACGAACAGCAATCAAATTTATTGATACTTGAAATTTTAAAGTGATCCAACATATTATCAAGGCATCGATTTTCACAAATTGGTTGTAAAATGCTGAAGAATAAAGCTATATTTTAAATTTTCCTATCAATATATAAGTTTTGCACATTCATCTTAGAGATTATTTTAAATTTTGTTAATTAAAGTAAGAAAAAGATTCCTGAAACCATAAGTTGAAACTTATTTTGAGGTATCGCAAAAAATTAAATATAGAACCTTCGGATAGTTCTAAAGAACGTTTCTCATTCAAATGAAACTCGAAAAATAAGTACGTTATTCACATGAATCTTTTAGAATTTGTTCTTTTTTTTTAATAATTAAACAATATAAAAATAATATTCAATTTATTACGTCACTTTCGCTAATAAAAATTTGATCATAGTAAATCGATCAAAATGTATCTAACATAGTTTTGATTACATAGTTGATGTTTCACCCTAACATGCCGTGCACATAAGCAAATTTTGGCAATCACGTGTTCTTCGATTTTGGTCGTATGCAACTAATCTATATTTCGTGCACTCATGTTAAAAATTTCTTATAGGGCTATGATTATATTAAAAAGTTAGATTGTTCCACGGGAATCAGACATTGCATTTTCGTGCGCGTAACGGGTAAGTTTTTTATGAAACCGTGTATCCAGTACAAAATTAATCCGAATCTTGCAAAAACATTCGATTTCTGTTAGTGTTGTTAGCCGAAATACACTATTAAGTCAAATATTTAAACATTTAAGCGCCTAAATATATTTCAACATAGTGTTATTTTTTGTCGAAAATAAATATTATATGACTAAATGTCTGAATATAGGTATATTTTTAATAATAACATTTTTATAAGTTCTTATTTATATTTCTATATTATTTTTATTGTATGAATCTCAGATCCGGAGTCTTTATATATTTCTTTTTAATTATGTAACTTTTTTTGCCTTTTTTAATGATATAACGAATTTTTTGAGATATTTAAGTTATTAACAAAAATAAAAATTGTTAAAAAACTAGGAAGAAAATAGAAGAAATGGAAAAAGTCTTGTGACTGCACTTTATGAAACGCATAACTTCAATTTAAAAAATAGTATAGAAGTATAATAAGAACTAGGGAATAAATTATCGATTCGGCAATATTCGCATAACATATTTGTATATTTGTAGCGTTTATTCCTTACGATATAGCCCGTCGTATGATGATGGGCTCTAGCACTAGTTATTTAATAAATAATCAAACGAAGTGAAGATCATTGATAAATGGATGTATTTTATTTTACTAGCGAGACTCTAAACCTAATTTGATAGAGAAATCTTACAAAATCATATAGTGTGACTTTATAATACAATAGATCCAATTTTTGCTCTCAATAATTCATCAAAATAAAAAATAGTGTAACTTCTAAATAGTTTATGTGGTTCATCCAGCCATAGATTTACTTCATCAAATAAAATTTCTAATCCTTTTCCATCAAATTTTTCCTTAAATTTTCTATAATGAATAAAATAATCTAATCCCTGCTCAGTCAAATATTTGTAGCCTCCTTTAACAAGGATTGACTTTGATAATTTAACCCCTGCCCAATCAATTACTAAGGGGCTATAAACAATAAGTGGTGAATTAATAATATCAATGCCCATCATCGCAATTACCCTATAAAAAAGCTGCTCTTGATAAAAACCAGCAAAGTCACCACCAGTAACTCGTAACCAAGAATAAGGAACATCTTTGTCTTTATTATCCTCAGTGTATAATAAACCTCTCACTAAACTTCTTAATTGAGTTTCATACTGCAATGTTTGCAAATCGTCTTTTTCTATATCAATTGAATACCAGCCATGATTAGGGCAAAAAAAGTTAATTATATTACCATTATAACAATTTTTTATTCCATATTTGTCTGCCAAACCACATTGCGGACAAGCCATCCTTAATGCGAGACACTTTGTTGAGGGAAATAATGATTGTCCAAGTTTTTCTCGCTCACTTATTAATTTCATAATTATTTCCGGAGCCTTCCTGTGTAAATTTAATTCACTTTGATTCACCAGTTTATAATTCACGCCACCGAAATAAGAGCTCAATTTATCTAGTAATTCTTTGAAATCATCTATGTAATTATGAATTACTCCAGTATAAGCAATGCTTTTTTGGTATTCAACATCATTAAAATTATATTTATCTGTGTCTAAAGCTATTGTGTCCACCATTCCAGCCATAACTGTCACAATTTTACCAAGTTTTTCTAATCGTTGAGCAAGAGAAAAAGCAAGTGAAAAGGTAATTATTGTACCAAAGTGAGGTGGACTATTCGGCACTGCACCCACGCTTATTCTTACAACATCTTTAGGAATACATTTAAAAATGTAGTTGGCGTACCCTTCATTAAAAATTGTAGAGGCACCTCCTGGTGGATTATGAATATTACCATCATGCCAAAGTCTAATCATTATTGTTGTAGTAATAAGTGACAAATAAAATCTTAATACGTATACTTTAATAGACAGTAACAAAGTAGAAAACTTGCTTTCACAAACATATAATTGGGGTTTTAAACGCACTATGTAAATCAAATCGATATGTGATCTTCTATGAATGGTTGGGGTATTGTAAATCAAAATCTTATATGTGGTCTTCTATGAAAGGTTAGGGCATTGCGCATCAAACGATTTACTATCGCTATTATAGTGCAGCACCGTATATGATTGGATTTTTTTAATTTTTGTTGATTATTTTATTGAAAAAAATTCTCTGTAGTAATTTATTATAAAAAATCGCATAACTTCAAAACGTTCTAAATAGAGCAATTTCAATCCTGTAACTTGCAAATGACTATATTCTTTTTTTTTTTTTACTTTGAAAACACTTACATTATAAACAAAAGCGACATTTAAAAAAAACAAAGTAAAAAGAGATTTATGCCTTATAAATAATGTAGTTTTAAAACTATGTCGAGACATTTTTTAATCCATTTTATTAATATAGTTAAAGAATCAAATATTTTTTTTAACAGGTAACTCTATAATTACATAAATGTATATCAAACAATTATATAGTATTATTATCATCTATGTGATATCACGTAAATATATGGACCTTCAAAGTTCGTGATGTATATATTATAACATATTAATTCGGGTTGAAATATTAACTCTAGTATTACTGTATTAAACGTTTAAATCGTGTAAATGAAAAGAAAGCGTAAAAGCAAAATGAGGAAAATAAATGAGGAAAATAATAGTCAAATTAAGAAAATTACGGTTTATCA